ATTATGGCGTCCCGATGACGATGATTATTCGGATGGTGATGATGATGACGTCGATGATGATGGCGTCCCGGTGGTGATGATGATGCTGATGATGATGTTGATGCTGATGTTGGTAATGATGATGATGATGCTGATGATGATGTTGATGATGTTGATGATGATGATGTCGATGATGGGGATGAGATGATGATGCTGGTGTCCCGATGAATATGATGATGATAACGATGGTGATCATGATGGTGTCCCGATGATGATGCTGCTGATGATGATGACGATGACTGCGTCCCGATGCTGATGATGATGTTGATGTTGATGATGATGATGGTGGTGATCGTGATGATGGTGATGATGATGATGGTGGTGCCCGAATGATGCTGATGACCGTGATGATGATGTTGGTGTTAATGATGAGGAGGTTGTCCCGATGATGCTGATGTTGGTGATGTTGATGCGGATGTTGATGTTGATGTTGATGATGATAACGTTGATTATGATAGCGGTTGTGATATCGATAGTGAGACCGAATGTGATACCGATTGTGAGATCGATTGTGGGATCTGAGATCGATTGTGAGATCGATAGCCAAATCAATTGTGATTTCTATATATATATATATCGAGTGAGATCGATTGTGAGATCGATCGGAAAAGATCGATCGAGCGAAACCGATACTGAGATCGATCGTGAGATCGATAGTGAGACCGATCGAGTGAGACGTTGGTCCCTCCACCCCCCCGAACCTCCTTATCACCCGAAGGGTGGTCGTATAGGTGTATATATATATATAAACACAAGATAAACAGCTTGATCGTGCGATGGGAACTGGGATATTGAGACGGAAATGGAATCATATCGACATCCCTTGTTTGTTCCGTGTTTGTCCTGTGCTTGTCCCATTCCTTTCCCGCGGTTGTCCCGCGGCTGTCCGCGGTTGTCCTGTGGTGGTCCTATGGCTGTCCCGTGGTTGTCCCGCCTCTGTCCACCGGTTGACGTTTAGTGGCCCCGTGACTGTCCCATAGATATCTTGACGTTGTCCTGCCATTGTGACTGGTAGCGGGATCCACTGGTATATATATATATATGTATATATATAGAGAGAGAGAGAGAAAGAGAGAGATCGGTCAGTATTTTGTTGTTGGGGTCGACGGATAAGCAGTAAAAGAAATAGATAGCGAGATCGGTAGACAGATATAGACATCGTGAGATAGACAGGCAGCGGACCCGACCGAGTGGCAATGGCAAAACAAATGCTGCAAACACCCACACACCCCCACCCACCCAACCTCCTCACCATTCGAATGGGCGTTTGATAAATATCGACAACGGGGTCGACACGCATAAACACATCGATATTGCAATATGTATGTGTATATATATATACAGATCCGCAGATACACACATAATTAGGTGTATTATGGCAGAGGCAAATTCTAATACATATAAAAAAGAAAGGGGTATATATATATATATCGACTGATGCTTCGGCAATTGGATCCACTTAAGGGTGCGTGGGCCGACAGATGCGAATATCAAGATCGATATAATGATAGATCGCGAGTCCGATCGAAGGGGTCAGAAGTGGCAGTGGGGGTTTGCAAGAAACTGATGGCTGGGTGTCAGCATGGGCGTCGGTGCCAGGTGCACTGGGCTGTCGCGCGCTGTTGTCGTCCTGTGTGAAGTGCCGAACTTCATTGGGGGTCAGAGTCGGGGAGGGAGTAGGAGAGGGGCAGCCAACGGGAGTTCGAGGAAAGGGCTGGTTGTCGGGCGTCTGCGTTGTAGGTTGTTCGTGGGCTGGCTGCCCTTCGGGGGGAGGGGTCGAAGAGGCATCGGGGGGCGCGTGGTCCTCCACGGGGCGGTCGCATGCAGTATCGACGTGGAGTTGCTGAAGGGGTTGCTGACCTAACTGTGCACAGTCCTCATCGGCGGGGACGAGTCGTCGCTTCCAGGATGACATTAGTCGAGGCGGCGGGGGGGGAGAGACAGGGGGCGCAGCGAACCGCTGCTTCACTGGAGGATAGGGGGACAGGCGCACTTGGCATGTCATCATGAAAAAAGGAGGCGGCTATGTCGTCGCAGCCTTGGGATGAACGGAAGAGGCATGGGAGGCAATCTCTTTCGGTAAGCCGTCGTCTCCAGCCGCAAGGCGCGGTCTGAGGGGCTCAAAGTTGATCCTCGATCGGTGTGCCCTCACCGATGTGGTCGCTGCTCTCGCTTGCCCGATGTTCGCAAGAGGCAGACGTTCCCTGTGTGCCGTCGTCTCCAGCGACGGGATATGATCCAACGGATACTGGTTGACCCTCATCGTGCCGATCTTGGATCCTGCCCGATGTGTAGATCGATGCATGTACCCGCTGGCCGACTTCGTCCTGGGGACCATCGTTTGCTTGCACACCGGACGGTGATAGAACCCCCAGGTCCTGCACTAGTCCGTCACAATCCGCCCTGGTGACAATTCCCTGGATTTCGTCTCGATCGCCGTCTGAATTCTCTTCCATTATGGTGGCCCTGGGGCGGCGAGATGGACAGGGGGCGCGCCGACGCCTAGGCGGCAGCCCGCTGTCGCGCGTGACCTGGCACGGGCGAGCACGGGGGGGCCGCGGCGGCCCAGTGCGTCGGGCGACCCCTCGAGAGCGGGGGTTGCCCGCAGACGGCTTGAGCCAGAGGGCTTGAGCCATAGTGCGGCTACGGACTGGTGGAGATATTTTTTTTGGTCAGCGGCTCCGAGACTAAGGTCAGGGAGCGGAGGCGACGTCCGGGCCACGGGCGACTGGTGGATATATGTTTTTTGATTGGCGGCTCGAAGGACAGATCCAGCGATCGGGAATATACCGTCTGGGGCACAGAGCGAGATAATTGGCTGCAGAGGCGCATAGGCCGCTGTAACGAGTGCACATGCCAGGGACAAAATGACCCCCATTGGGGGCTGACGCAGGCGGCCCGACAGATGGGGACGCAAGCACAGAACCGGAAGCGGACGGAAAGGAGCTGTCGCACACGTGGCGCCAAGCTCCGACCGTACCGTACAGCGCGAAAGGGCGTGGAGCACGCCGCACTGTGGCGGCACGGGGTGGCCAGGCGTGGCCGCACCGTCCATGCAACAAAAGGTGAGGCAAAGGAACAGGAGAGACGCGGCGGGCGCTAGGGCACCCGGCAGCGGGAAAATGGGAAGGCACAGAGAGAAGCCTCACTCGCAGTGACTCACAGGACGCTCTTGGGCGTGAGAGCGACCAGTACCCAGTCAAGGACCAGTCGTCAATGCCGTCTGCATTTTGCGTGAAGAATTTTGCTGATCAGTCCATAGTGAAGACTCGCTTGTCGCTACCCCAAATGGATGATCGGAGTCATGCGCTTCAAATCTGAATGCGAGCAACACGCAAATGAGAATAATAAGCAATCCTCAGAGGTTCTGACATGTTGTCGTCCACGATTGCGACGCTACGCTGGATGGGCAATTGAATGTAAGTGACAGCCCGAACCAATGTTGTGACGGAGGAGGGGGGAGGTCGCTGCTTGCCGAGACCCCCAACAAAACAATATGATAAATAATGGCTCGTGAGGGGACGCTGGGTGAAGCCAGGGCAAGACGACCCCCCGATTCCGAGCATGCCGGAGGGGGACGAGGAGGAGAGAAGGGGGGGGGGGGGAGGAGGAGGAGGAGGAGGAGGAGGAGGAGGGAGGAGGAGGAGGAGGAGGAGGAGGAGGAGGAGGAGGAGGAGGAGGAGGAGGAGGAGGAGGAAAGGCGGAGGAGGAGGACCGACAGCTGGATGGGGGAGCGGGCGGGGAGGAAGAAAAAGAGAGGACCAGGGGTAAAGCCGACCATCCACCAACGAAGCCGCAAGTACGACGCGCCCCCTGGTCGTCCGAGGTCCCCCCCCGCCCCGCGTGCCTCCACCACCCCTGGCGAGATGCTCAAGAAATCATGGTGGGTTTAGGAACCCGAAGAAGAATAAGAAGAAGAATAAGAAGAATAAGGACTTCTGCCTGCAACTGCACTCCTCCTTCGCCTGCCTGTCTTTTTGCTCGCGCTCTGCAGACAGATTCGGTACACAGCCTGGCTCAAGCACAAATCAAGCTGCTCAAGATATCGTGATATCAAGAATTATGCTTTGAAAGTGCGGCTGGGTACAATGACAGATATTATGAGCAGCTTGGGTTCTACAAGCTTTCTGCCTTTATGCTTAAGAAATCATGGGTTTAGGAACCCATAGTCTCAGAACTTTTGAACAAAACCCACAACTTCTATCAGAATCTTGGGACTTGCCTCGAAGAATCAAGAACCATCGAGACTCTGGGCGAAGACTTAGGTTTTCTTAAGCATCGCCTAGGGTGTACAAGCTGGGCTTTGTCCTACGAGCAGGGGCCAACTGCAGCACGAACGCCCCCTTTGGGCCTGCCATTCCGGCGAGGGCGCCCCGCTGTGAAGGGGGCGTGCCTTCCCTCCGTCCACGGCGAGGTATAAAGAATGCAGACGTAGAGTCACATGATGGGCCTGTTTTCCACCACCACCACCATAAGCTGGAGGGGGGGAGGAGGAGGAGGAGGAGGAGGAGGAGGAGGAGGAGGAGGAGGAGGAAGAGGAGGAGGAGGAGGAGGAGGAGGAGGAGGAGGAGGAGGACCCCTTCCCCCTCCAACTTATGGTGGTGGTGGTGGAAAAGAGGCCCATCATCACACGCTCCAGCAGAGGTGTCCAACGAGGGCCTCGCTTGGAAAATACACCGCCCCCCAGCCGTGTAACTGATTGCAACCGAACGGCACCACTGCCACTGCCGCAGATGGGAGAGCCGTGGCCTGCCAGGTCTCCACTCCAGCCCCGACTCGACGGAGAAGGGATGAGGGCGAGACAACGAGGAGATCAGGGGTGGACAACACACCTTAGACGACCCCCCGAAAGGTAGCGCACGACAGCTAAGTGCATTCGATGGCGAGCAATGCTGAGTTGCTCAGACAGCATGTGCTTGCGCGCCCGACCCTCAACACCATGCGATGCATGTGGATGTTTTCCTACTTGCACGGCCACAGGGATCAGTCGTAAACTCAAGCCGATTGGCTCTAAGGAGCTGGACTGTGGACTGGAAGCGTCTGACCAGGGACTTGGAAGAGGGGCCGATGTGAGAGAGACAGAGAGAACCAGCGAGAGAAAGAGCGAGAGAGAAAAAGAGACATACATATATATAGAGAGAGAGAGAGAGAGAGAGAGCGGGACGACGAATGAAGAAATGTAAAGAGAGATGGTGACAGAGGGTTTTAAGAGAAGAGGGAGGTGCGCGCGTATACGCATACGCATTAAGTACGTATGAACAAACAAACATACATAGATAGAGAGAGAGAGAGCGAGAAGCAGACAAAGAGCTTCAGAGATAGAGGGGGGGAGACAGAGGGAGAGGATGAGAGAGAGAGAGAGGGAGACAGAGAGGAAGAGAGATGGGGGAAAGAGAGGAATGGGGGGAGGGAACACGATATGTGAAGGCGCAAGGAGGGAGAGAGAGAGAGAGAGAGTGGGAGAAAGAGAGAAAGAACAAGAGAGAGAGAGAGAGACGGAGTGAGAAAGAGAGAAAGAGAGGGAGAGAGAGAGAGAGAGAGAAAGCGAGAGAGAGAGAGAGAGAGAGTCAACAAAACTTGAAAATGGTAAAGAAAAACACGAAGACGGAGAGCATACACGGAGGCAAACGGAGACAGAGGCACAGACAGAAGCGCGGATGTAACGAGGGACAGACATATTGGCAATAGACAAATCGGCGCAGAGGCAGATACGCAGATGATCAACACACAAACCGACCAACAAAGCAACATGTTCGAGTTCGGCTAACACACTGCCATCTGTCCTCCGCCGACTCCGCTTGCTGGGGTGAGAGCGTGCCGCTTGGGCCGCCTTTTGGCCTTACCTGGCCTTATGCTCGGGCTAATTGGCAAGGGTACGGAACGCAAGCCGCGCTTTCACTTATCTGGTGGTACTCCTGACGGACCGACGGTCAGGCCATGGTCTAACAGTCGATCAGCCACACGGCGCACGTCAGCCCAATTGCCTATGAAGTGGAGGAGTGTAGGATGGGGTACGAAGCACAACTGCGCGACAGTGTTTCACTGCTGTCGCCATGTCTTTACCCCGTCTTGGTGTCAGACTCTGCCCGTCCAGCGAACACCTGAATGGGCGGGCGTTGAACGCGAAGCGTCTTTACGAAAGACACAGGTGCAGGCGCAGACACACGCAGATAGAAGACTGACACGCATGCGCAGGCACAGGCTCCAGGACAGACGCAAACACTCCCAATGAAAAATAGGCAGACGGGCACGGAAAGACCAGCAACCTCAGGCAGCGGACGCAGACACGGTGGAAGTCCGTGAAGCGAATGCGGGGCGCACGTGCGCGAATGGAGACCCATGCCAGGAGCGAGGCGAGAAGGCGAGCGGAGGCAATCGCAGAGACGGACAGACCAACAGGTAGACATGCACCCGGACACTCGACCGTAGAGCCAAACTCTTGCTGTGCGCACTCACGGGGGAACAGGACAAGGCAGGGCAATCCAGGCAGACACGGCCAGGCACAGCAGCAGACTACAATACAGAACAGGGCGAGGCAAGACAGCACACGACAAAAGACAATTAGACAGCAGAGACAAGGCCTAAGACAGAGGCAAGATGTGCGAGATGCCACGAAATGAGCGTGAGAGGGAAGGAGGGTGAAGATGGAGAGAGGAAAAGAAAGACAGAGGGAGTGATGCAGAGAAAAAGAAAGAGAGAGAGAGAGAGAGAACGAGGGAGAAGGAGAGAGCCACGCGCCAGGGCGCGTGCCGAGTACCCTGGGCGCTGCCACGCTGACGCCGATCACTTCAGTGCCGCCAGCAGCTTCTCGTAGGTCACGAAGAACACCCCGCACCAGACGAGCTTGCGCGTGCAGATGGGCAGGAAGCCCTTGTACAGTGCCGTCGGGCCCTCGTCGAGGAGTATCCGGTAGCCCGCGTGGAGCATGCCTGAAGGGGAACTGGAACACACAAACAAATACACACAAATAGAAATATCCCCCTATTTTCCCATGTTTTCTGGGTGTTTGTCCTCCCCACCACTTCCCATATTTTTGCATATTTTCCTGGGAGTCGACGATGAATTGTGTCTGTGTGTTTCTTTCCCTCCCGAATGCCCCGGTACTGCTGCTCCCCGCCGGCCGCGTTCATGAGCCGGGTCTTCACCACGTCGGCCGGGGTCGACACGCAGGCCGAGGTGAAGCCGGCGGCCCCGGAGGCCCCCACGTGCGACAGCACGCCGTCGCCCAGCAGGGGCCGCAGCTGCGCCTTCGCTAGGGCTCCCAACTTCGCGCTTCGCGCTGCGCGAAGCGCGAATAACTTCGCGCTCTCGCGCCGCCCTCCCAAAGGGAGATTAGGAGAACGAGGAGGAGGGGGAGAAGGAACGAGGACCGCGAAGCGCGAAGCGCGAATAACTTCGCGCCCTCGAGGGAGCCCTTGCCTTCGCCTCGTCGTACGTGCCCAGCTCCGCCGCGTTCACCAGGAACGTGCGCGCCACGTTCGGGCGCACGCCGGCCCAGAAGCCCAAGAGCCCATCCCGCTGCCAGACCCGGGCGACCACGTCGCCTGGCAGAGAGGGAATAGGACGGCGAGTTCCGTGTCGGAACGACGCCTGCTTTAGTTTCTGGCACCGCGTGGGCCGTTCAACCTGGAACGATCAGGGCCATCCGATAGCGCACCTCGTTCGATACCAGCAAATTCTGGCCCACTGGCGAATTTGAACCTTGAACGCAAGCGCTGGGGACGCCGCAGCGTCGACACGGCACGAACCAGCCGTATGCACCCCACCACCAGGCCTCCGCCGGACCATGTTGGGCCCAGCTCTTGATGCACGTCGGCTCCCAGCCAGGGCCTGGCCCCAAAAAGGGGAGCCCGTGGAGGCCTGGTGATGGCCCATGCTTCCCCTCCCGATCGCCCATGCGCACCGGGCCGCCGCTGCTGGCCTGCATCTGGGTCTTCAAGACCTCGGTGGGGTTGAAGATCGTGATCGCGCATGCGCCCGCAGTGCCGCCAGCCGCCAGCCGCACGGAGTAGGACGGGGCGCACTCGCTGCCGCCCTGCAGAGCGTTCCGGTAGAGGTCCCGGATCGGCTCGTATATCACCAGCGACATCGAGGTGTAGCAGACCTGCGGCGGACGTCACCCATCCACCTCAGCGATGCTGGCCGCGCCCATCCTGGGCCCAGGATCGGTGCTGTGTGCCTCCCTGGCTCAGCCAGGAGGGCTCCGGCCGGGCGAGCAAAGGGGGTGTTTGAGAATCAGCTCACGTAGCTGATTTTCCAAGAGCCTCCCGGCGCCGGGAGGCGCCCATGTATCGAGGAATGGGCCCGACGGCGGGGCCGAAACCAGCTGCATGCAGCAGATTTCGTGCCCCCCCTTTCCCTATCCCCCCCTTTCGTTCGGCCCGAAGGGCGTGTACACCAATCGTGGGCCCAGGGTGGGCCCTGCCACGCCAAGTGGGTAGCGGACGCCCCCCGAGGCCTGCCGGATCAGGGCGGGGACGAGCCCCTTCCAGAGAGCCAGGGGGCCCTCCTCTGGGCGGCGCGCAGGGAGCGGTGGTAAGGGTGACAGAAGGGGGGGGCTGACCTGCTGAGAGGGCTGCGGGGAGATCCTCGGACCCTCCAAAAAGAAGTCCCCGCTGCCCTCTCAGAGAAGGCCGCCGCCCCTCGCCGGCACCACCCCTCCCGGTGCGCGCGGCCGAGGTCCTCGGCGGCCGTCCGGCGCAGGCAATCCACGAAGCCGGTGTACCGCGGACCGCTGCCCGCGGTGGTGCTCTGCACCTGCAGGCGCGTCTTCGCGACGTCCGTCGGCAGTGTCGAGGTCTCCGCGACCAGAGCCGCGGCGGCAGAGGCGGCGAAGCGGGACTTCGCATCGCTCATCTCTTGCCACGCGGCGCGAGACAGGACGTGGAGAAAGAGGGGAGGATGGAGGAGGGGAAGAGAGGAACGGGAGTCAGAGGAAGGGACGAGGGAGGGAAGGGGGGTGGGGGGTAGAGGGAGGGGAAGGAGATGCTCGCACAAATAAGCATGCGTCGGCTGGCTCTGAATCCGCCGACCATGTCGGCGTGTGTGAGGTTTTCTTCCGTTCGGGTCGTCGTCGCTGTCATTCGTTCATCGTCGTCTCTGTCGTCCTCTTCCCCTGCGCTTTCCTTTCCCAGTGCCCGTCGCCGCTCTCCATTGCTGGGCTCTCCTCCTCAAGCGCGTCAGCCGCAACGAAATTGAGCAACGTCGCCAGGCATTCGAAGGGAAGCCCCTTCCTTTTGATCCCTCCCCCACCCGGAGGGAGGGGTCCCGGGCCTGTCTGGGCCAAGACCCGGGTCCAGACCCAGGGGGGTCCCGGGGAGGGTCCCGGGTCCGGACCCAAGGGGGGTCCCGGGTCAGGTACGCTTCCCTCCGGGGGCCTCCCGGGCCAAACGAAAGCCTCAAGACGGGCCAAGGGCCAAGAGTGCCCCAAAAACTCCCAAAGACAGACCACGAGTGTCAATAGCACAGGATCCGTGCCAATGTAGTTTCACTTATCATGGTTATGTCTTGCAATAAAGCAGTGCTGCATATGATATGTGGAGATTTGATGTACGTATGCTGTCGCACACGTGAGTTCACACCGACGCCGCTATTGATCAAATACCGAGGGGCCCCTGAGTCAATCAAAGCTACGAGCGAATATCTTCGATTCTATTATGCTCTGTTTGGTTTCCTACTTCGTGTGAGAGAACCTCGGTGGTTCCAGCAGAATGCTACCGACATTGGTAGCGGAGCCAGTGGCTCCAGATCCGCGGCAAAAATGAATCGGAGACCTCGCTCGTGGGTGATCGCACTCACCGAGAGGAAGATGAGATCTTCCGGCTCCGGCGGCGGCCCACGACCCAAGGGCAAGCGCAAGCAGCAGCCAGCAGACGATACCGGTGACGGCACAGCGGATCAACCAGGAGGCAATGTTCGGTTGGATGATGGCGACACGGACAGTGACATACGAGATGGAGGCCGAGACCAAGGTCGAGGCAGAGGCAACAGACCGCCGCAGATGGACGCAATATTGGCGAAATGCTGCCCAGACGCGACGGACCTACGGCATGACACGTACCGCAACTTCAGAAGGAAAGCGACGGTGATCCAGCGACTGTGTCAGCGCCGAGGTGAGACGGTGGTGAGTGAAGGAGCATGCATACCTCTAAGTGCAGGCGCTGCAAGGCGATGCCTGGGGCGCCTGCGAGAGTATCAGCTTTGAGAGGATGGACACGAACGAAGCGTTCGATCAGAGTTTCGGTAAGCTGGACGTGCTGTACAGATACACGCAGGAAGTGGAGTTTCCGGGAAGATGTGACGCGTTATTTGGAGAGTTCTCGAGGTTGCCGAAACAGACTTTGAACGCGTATGTGCTACGACACGGCCAGGAGTTGTCCAAGTTACGAGAAGCAGGGCTGGACTTACAGGGCTTGCTGGCAGGTTGGCACATGATGACGAGGTCGACAATTCCACGATTGCAGATTCCGAACCTGAAGACGCTGTGCAACAGCAGGCTCACAATGCAGGTGGTGACGGAGTCACTCAAGACGATGTTATGCGGCGATAGTACAGCACACAAGAAGGACATCGAGCGATTGACGAACACGTACTGGGGCAAGAGCTACGAAGGTGGCGACAGCTACTGGGCAGAAGAAGGGGGCGATGATGCCTACTGGTACGAGGATGGATGCACGGACGAGCTGTACTACGAGGACGACGTGTGGCACGAGGAAGACGAGGAGCCGATCCCCGAGCTCGAGGACGCGTATGAAGCGCCAGAGGAAGCCTTCACGAACTACATGGAGGCCCGGGCGAAGATGAGAGAACTGGCGACAGCGAGAGGATCCTACCAGGTGGTGGCGCTGATGGACGACCGACGAGGACTACCGCCACCGCGGGCGGGCAATATGCGGCCACCCAAAGGACGAGGACGAGCGAGCTCGGGATACGGCAAGTCACGTGGAAGCTTAAGCAAAGGGGAAGCAAGAGGCAGATACGGCGGCAGAGTACCATATGGAGGCAAGGGTGGAGCCAAAGGTGGACGGCATCCCGACGGCTCGTAAGATGACCACGGCAGGTGCGACTCAGCAGCACGGGCCACGATTCAATCGACGAAGGGAGGCGCAGGAGCCGATGAACCCGAAGACGCGAAGATGCTGTACGAGATACGTGGTGACATGACGATGTCGGAGATTGCACCGAGCCCTGCAACGACGACGGTAGAAGAAGTGAGTTTGGCTACGGCTACGGGTATGGGTGTCGGCGACAGTGGAGCGACGAAGCCAGTGATGGGTCTCGAGGGGTGGCCAGCATGGCTTGAGAAACTTCAGAAGATGGGCCTATCCAGCGAGATTCACACGGCAACATGCCACAAGACGTTTCGGTTTGGCAACGACGAGACCGCGACGGCGAAGCAGCAAGTAACGTGCCCGGTCTGGGCGAAGAACGCGAGAAGGCAGATGATAGTCTACCTCGTTTCAGGCAGAGGTGTCTCTGCTGGTGGTGAGGCCTGCCTCGAGGAGTGGGGCATGGTGATCGACCACCGCAACAATGAGGTTATGCATTTAGAGGAGCAGGCGCCGGAGTGGATCGACATGGAGACGAACGAGACAGGACACATGATCATCGATATGCTCAGCTTCCCGTCCGATGTGCCAGCGGCAGATGAGGAGTCGAGCTCGACGGACTCGGACACCGCCGGCGACCAAAAGGTAGAAAGCGATAAGGGAGCTGACTTTTCCGTGGCCAGCAGCTACGGCGACGCCGACCATCGAGAATGCGGGCACCACGAAGCTCAATGCGAGGCAGCCGGAGGACTGGCTCACAGAGACCAACCGCACGTTGAACAGCAAGCCGAAGGCAAAGAGGCGGTTCTGGGAGATCTTCGTGGCAGAAGGACGCATCCAGCATTGCGTGGAGAAGCACGGCGGTTTCAAGACGGAGAAGTTCACGCTGGAGACAGGCTGGGACTTCACGAACGGCTCGCATCGCACAGCGTTCATGGGGAAGCTGGTGAAGGAAGAGGCCTGAAGAAGTGTGGATAGCACCACCGTGCACGGTATGGTCTACGATAAGCACACTGGAGGGAGCGATCAAGAGCAACGAATATAGACAGCGACGGCAGAGAGAGCGTGCCAAGCAGCAGCGTGAATTCCTGAAGTTCAGTCGGGGGATCTACGAGGCGCAGCAGCAGGCGGAGAGGAAGCGCATCTAGAGCACCCTCGATACGCGACGTCTTGGGAGACCGAAGCGTGGGACGGCATGACAGGCTACGGTACGTTCGTGGACCAGTGCGCCTACGGACTCATGGCGTTGGACTCGGCAGGTCGAAGGCTCGGACCGATCAAGAAGCCGACGAACGCAAGGACCACGAAGCTCCAGATGCACGAGGAACTCTGGAAGACATGCAGCTGCAAGGAGAAACACGTGAGTCTCGAGGGTGGACAGAAAATGCGCAGAGTGGAGAACGACCCGAGGAAGATGTGGCATCTCCGGCGGCGGTCTGCATCGTGGACGATCCGCAGGACGAGGCCGGCAACGCGGTGGACAAGATGACCCATGATCGGGTCGGGCGAGAGGGGGGGATAGCAAAGGGGGGGTTTGAGAATCAGCTCGCGTAGCTGATTCTCCCGGCGCCTCCCGGCGCCGGGAGGCGCCATGTATCGAGGAATGGGCCCCTCGGTGAGGCCGAAACCAGCTGCATGCCGCAAATTTCGTAACCCCCCCTTTCCCAATCCCCCCCTTTCGCCCGACCCGACATGAGGACCTCGACAAGACCGAGTGCAAGATGGCGTGGAAGGCGCTGCTGGAGAAGCTCACCATCGAGGAGGCCAAGTGGGCAGAGAAGCTACATATCCAGATGGGCCACCCCTCGAGCGAGGCGCTGGCAGCAGCACTGGAGGACACGAACGGGGGCGACGGACTGATCAGCTGTGCGAGGATAGACATGTGCGAGGCATGCCTCAAGCGGCAGATGCCAAAGTCAGCGCGAGTCTCCCGCATCCCTCGGGATCGAGGGTTCAACGACACCTTGGATATCGACACGTTCCAGGTGGTGTGGAAGGACAAGCACAAAACGATATTCACAATCGTGGACGACTGCTCAAGGTTCGAGATCGATACGGCGGTGAAGGACAGTAGGCACGCACCGAGATCAAGGCGCTCGAGAAACACTGGATCAACTGGGCTGGAGCGCCGGCCAAGATTCGAGCGGACCAGAGCGGCGCGCACGTGATTGACGAGTTCATGGAGCGGCGCGACGGTCGGCAGATCAAGCTGCAGCTGGTTCCAAGAGATGCCCATCATCTAGGGGGCAAACAAACCTACCTCGCTTTTGACCACCCTCGCTTCCAAGAGATACCAAGCGATACCAAACTACGGCCTGTACTGGTCAGGCCGCTTGACGAGGAGGCGCGTGGTATGACTTGGTTTTGCCTGGAAGCGAAAGCGGGGTAGGTAATTCACGCTATGGTCATCGGCTTGGCACACTCGAGCGGAATCATCAGATGCGACGGGAGCAGATAGCACGATATCAGGAAAATCATCACGAGGACAGCTTGGAGGTGGCGGCGCGAATGACATGCGACGCGCGCAACCAGCTGCGCAACATGAAGGGTTTCACGCCTTCGCAGCGGGCGCTAGGGAGGCAGCCCAAGAACCTGGGCAGCCTGGCGGACGAGCCAACAACTACGGGCGACCTCGGCGACCACGACGAGGAATTCCACCGCAACCTGGCGCGCAGGCGCGACGCAGGCAAGGCTTTTCCGGCGTCAAACGTGGCAAAAACAGTTCGAGAGGCGCTGGCGGCCAAAGACCGGCCCCTCTCGAGAGAGTTCCAGATCGGCGAGGTGGGTGCACTTTCCAGAGGCGCGACAAAGGCGATAACGGCCCCATCAAGAGCTACTGGAAGGGGCCGGCGATGATCACGCAGGTCGAGTACACGGATGATCTCGATAAGCTTAGACAGTCAGTGCTGCGGCGCGCGCGCGCGGCAGCATGCTCGCGCGGGCGACGCGCGAGCTGTTTCAAGCCGAACTGCCAGAAGATCGACGGCAAAGAGAAGACTAATATTGAGATCACGGACTACCATTGTCAACGGCCGAGCGATGGCTAGAGAAGCTGAAAAACATCAGCGGATCCACGAAATTTGCGGACCACGCGGGCGAAGTCATCGGTCAGCCGGAAGACTACGAGGACGAGCACTACCCCATGGAGATGAACACGCAGGGCGTCGACACGGACGGCCAGGCGGAAGCAACCGAGGCCGATCGGCAGGACGAGCACCGCGAGGGCGAGCAGAGCGACAACGGCGACCGAGGAGTACCCGAGGCGGTCGAGATGCACGCGCTCGCGGCGCCCGAGCCCCCGCGCTCAGACATTTCGGCCGACGCGCCGCGGGACGCGGGAAGCCCGGGGGTGGAGCACGAGACGACGCCAGTTGGATCAGGCCCAGAGCAGGTCGAGATGGAGCAGACGACGAACCGGACCGCGGCTGAGAAGCGAAAGGCGGAGGATCACACGGCCGAGCACGGCGGCGAGTTGCTGGGCGCCATCAAGGCGGCCAGACGACTGGACGGATTACGGCCACTACCGAAGCGACCGAAGCAGACTGACGCGACGACAGCGGCAAGCGCCGCGAGCAGCAGTGAAGTCGACGAGCTGCTGCTCCAGCACGAGGACGCGGACGCGGTCAACCTGGCCAACGCGGCCAGGAACGATTCGGCGGCAGAGGCCAGGCTCAGTGTAGACGAGCGGAGGCACTTCATCGGGGCGAAGACCAAGGCGCTGCAGCCATGGATCGAAAACCGAGCGTGGCAGGCAGTCAAGGAGAACGTGGCGGACGCTGGAGAAGCGCGCCCCATGCGTTTCCTGTTGAAGTGGAAAATGAAGGGTGGAGTGAAAGAGGCGAGCGCGAGAGTGATCCCACAAGGCTTTCATCTAAAGGAGGTGACCAGCACTAACGTGTAGAGAGCGAGCCCTACTCTCACGCGACTCACGAGGCTCCTCATCCCGCTCGTTATTTGCCAGCAAGAATTTATGGCGGTGGCAGCGGACGTGAAGAGCTCATTCCTTCAGGCGAAGGACATCAGAGAGCAGGGAGTTCGGATTTTCAGCAGGCCGACCAAGAACGCGCGACGCCGGCCGGCGAAGATGATGGGCCTGCAGGACGACGTGATGCTGCAGATACCGAGGCCCGCTCTCGGAGACGCGCGAGCCCCCTGGCAGTGGAATCAGAAGATCACGGAGGCCATGCTCGAGATTGGCTTCCTGCAGCACGCGCTGGACAAATGCTGCTTCCCGTCGCGCCGCCGGGCGCCCGACGGGGGCGATCCGTTCCTGGTTTGGCAGGCGGACAACGACCAGCGCTACGCGTTGGACGGCGTGCCGGGGCTGCGCGTGGACGACTTCCTCGGCGGCGGCGAGAACTTCGAGCGCGAGGAGCACCTCTACAAAAGCAGGCGTGCGAGGGCACCTTCTCGGATCGGGCACAGAGGCTCAACCAGAGGCTCAAGTTCGGCAAGTGGGAGTTATCGAACAGTATCGTGTCCTGTGGCATGGAGAACACGCAGTCGTTCTCACGCGACGAGATTGAGGTGAAGGCCGAGGCCTACATGCATAAAGCGAAGCCGATTAGCGTCGAGAAGACGAGGAAGACACACCCAGGCGACCCGCGCGCGCCAAAGGAGATCAGTCAGCTCAGACGGCGGAATGGAGCCATGCAGTGGCTGGCGCCTCAGCGCACAGCGCAGGCGGCGGCGACGGTTTCGTTCGCGCAGGGCGATGTCAGCAAGGCGACGGTCGGTAGCTTACTGGAGGCCAACAATTCGCTGACGTTCCTGAAGGCGAGTGGCGATGTGGGGATCCGCATCACGTGGGAGCCTGGAGCAAGCTGAGTTGGAGTCTACTGGGGCGCGTTCTGGGCTACGAGGCCGAATGGCGAATCCCAGGGCGGATGCATGATCTTGGTGATCGAGGGCGCCGGGATCGACGACGGACAGCGAACGCAGCTGGTGATCATAGACTGGGCGAGCAAGAAGCTAGTGAGCATCTGTCGGAGCTCTTCGGCAGGCGAAGCCAAGAGCGCGGCGAACGCAGTGGGCGCGCTGGAGTTTGCGAAGACGATGCTCACGACCATGCTTTTCCCTACGTCGCAGCTGACAAGCATGGAGATGTTGCAGGTATTGAGACATCGCCCATGCATCGCGGACTGCAAGGCGCTGTTCGACGCGTTTAACTCTCAAGCGGCAGCCGGAAGTTTGACGGAGCGCACGACGGGGATTGAGATCCTGCAGGTCAACGAGAAGATGCGGAAGTTCGGAGGAGTACGGAGATGGACCAACACGCATCAGCAGGTGGCGGATGGTCTTACGAAGGTACAGGTGCGGCAACAGTTCGTGGAGAAGCTGAGAAGGATGACTCACGCACCCAAATACGACGCGACGTTCACAGCGGGCCTGAAGATTAGTCAGAAAATCAAGCTCAAACCGAAAGAGAGCTGGACGAAGCGGCGGCGGACTTCGATGAAGCGAATCAGGCTGAAGACGCAGAGGCCGATGACGGCGACGAGCATGAGGACCAGCTGAGAGAACATGTACGAACAACGATTGGCGGTACCCGTACGGCAAGGAGGATTGCACAGATCGTGGCGGCGGCGGCTACGAAATGTGCCAAAGGCGAGAAGATCGAGAAGGTCGAGACGGAGTTCCCATGGGTAATTACTGGTTTCGTTGTTAGTTCTGATGGTGGCGATTATATTATGATGTGGATGCGCACTGGCCGCGACGTGCTGGCTCGAATACACGACAGAGCAGAAGCTGATGGACGAGGTGCGTGTGCATCGAGATGCACGCACGATGGCTGAGCAGAGGGCCGATGCAACGACAACGGAGCCGAGAGCAAACGACGAGAGAGTGCCGGACAACAAGAAGCTGGCGCGGACGGCCAGCACCCAGAGCCAGTGCACGTACAAGCGTGACCTGACCACGCCGACGTTTCAGTATTTGCGAGACTTCGAACAGACGGCA